TCACTACATCAAAAAGTGACATTCCACTAGACTGCATCTGAAAAACATCACAGAACGCCACTTGCATGTTCACAGATCAATAAGCTAGATTTGGTGCTCTGAATACTTTGTGGATATCTTTAAATACATTCAGACCTTCATCCATATGTTGTAGCAAAAAGCCATCCTTCCTGACATGAACATATCTAATCCATTGTTTTTGACCAAGTCAAATCAGTTTGGATGATTTTGTTGCAGAACTGTTGCTCGCCTTTGTAAATGTGAAACTGTCTGATAATTTCTGCAAAAACATCTAACATTATGATACAAATGCCTGAACTAAGAATGAAGACAACTTCCTCCACTTGGTGAGTAACATGGCCATGACGAATTTGAAGTCGAGATGAGAGTTGTGTTAACTGGTCAAATTGGAAGTATCTCTCAGAGAAAGGTCTAGTAAGGTCCTAGCAGCTCTTCTCGCCACTAGAAATTCTACTTCTTTCTGTATACCTTATTGGCTCATACTATGCGATTTTAAGACTATGGTTTTCTTGACCAACTACAACAAGCTCACTACTGTGCTCCTCCAAGCTAATTGTCACATCCAACTTAAATTTCATTAGTTTAAACAAGGAGTTTTAAACTGTTAGCATAAATGAACAAATTTTCATTGGCCCACACCTTTGGACTTTGAATGTAGTCCTACAGATCGCATGGTTCTTCTCAGGGTTGAATTTTTAGTACAATTCATTAAATATTTTCCAGTGATTGCGATACTCCTTATCTAAATGCTCTACGTCATCGAGTGCCAGACGGTCTAGACTTAGCATCAGATGTTGCACTGCCTATCGCCTGGTTCAGCTATTCCAAGCAACAACTTGTGTGAAGTGTTTGAGTAAATGGTTCAAATCTGCCTTCTATAAATAAATGTTGATACAGATAGATATATGTGCTGGAATTCAACTGAGATGCTTTCAGAATTTGGGGAGGCATAATAATGTTAAATGTTGTATCCTTGGGTGAAATTTAGGCAGAAATTTAGGAATATGTGTTTCCGTGATATTCTTCATTGATCTTAGCTATCAAGTGTGGCCTTAGAGCATTGTCATGCTTTGCCAGTTAGGAAAGCTTCAACTGCTCCAAGGATTGTGGCAAAACAGGCTACTCTGCCTGTTGGCATCCTTATTTTGACTCCACTGAAATTGAGAAGTACTCTAGACATGGAGCCAAAATAGGGATTTGTAGCTAAAGAAAATAATGCAAACACTTTTTTCAGGATACTTTGTTTATTGTATTTAAAGTCTGTAGTCGTATGTTGAAAATATAATTTTTACATTTTGATTCAACTTATTTTTGTACTTTACTGATGATCCCTATTCCCCTTTTTAAATTAACAATTTTTAATTATCTTGTTAATAATTATATAAAATCATGCTTTTTAACACAGAATGAATTATATTAGATACCGATGTTTAATAAATAATTTAAGATTATACAATACATTCGATAAGGTATTCTGTTTAATAAGTTATGTAACTCATAAAATGAGTTTTTTTTTTGTCTGTTCCGGGGTTCAATACCCGTGGTAAGCATAGTACAAATAGGCTGTTGTTTATCTTTGTACTTATACGCAAACAAATATAGAATGCAGTTCAATTATATCAGCTGCCCGTGTTTTGTAACTCTTGTTTAGATCTACAGAATGTATTGGCAGTGTTGACTAGTTGCCTTCCCACTAATATATCAATTAACATTTAGGGACGGCCAGAATAGATCGCCCTTGTGTAGCTTTGCGTGAAGTTCCAAAATCAAACGGACAAAACTAACAGTCATCAACAATTTTTCGTGTGAAAAACAAATCAGAAGTTGCTACAACAGCCCCCATGTTGGCACCCACAACTATTCTGACACTAGATATCGCCCTCTAGCCAATTAGTTCAAATTTAGCGCAAATAGCCCTTGTGTAGCTTTTCGCTGAATTATAAAACAAACAAATTAAGACAACAATAGCAATTCTCATTAATTCAGCTAATTCGTCAACATAACAAGTCATTCCTTATAATTAACTTGCCTGTTATTGGAAGTTTGTGCCCTCATTGTTTTAGTATTTTACAAAGCGTTTTTAATTTCAAAGTTTTCAATAAACATCTTTAAAAACACATTAAAAATCCTGGGAATTGCATTTCAAAGTTATGAAATATTTTCTTAGGTAAAAGGTTGGATTTTTGGTATATATTTTAAACTTAATAACTTTTATTTCTCAATACTGCATACTGATTTTCAATATAGCGTTGTAAACAAATACATTTAATTAGATTTTATCTCCAAATAGAAAACATTAACAGTATTACTATCAAAACGCTATTCAAGTTCCAGAAATCAAGTTTTTAATTTCATTATTTCTGTATTTTTTTCATAATTGCAATTAACGTAACTATGTTTCATGAATTACTCCTAAGCAGCCCGGAAACCAGACACCACTTTGGTTGTACATAATTGTATATTTCATGGATTACTCCTAAGCAGCCCGGGAACCAGACACCACTTTGATTGTACATAATTGTATATTTCATGGATTACTCCTAAGCAGCCCGGGAACCAGACACCACTTTGATTGTACATAATTGTATATTTCATGGATTACTCCTAAGCAGCCCGGGAACCAGACACCACTTTGATTGTACATAATTGTATATTTCATGGATTACTCCTAAGCAGCCCGGGAACCAGACACTACTTTGGTTGTACATAATTGTATGTTTCAAGTATTGCTCCTAAGCAGCCCGGGAATCACACATCACTTTGATTCTACAGGAGTATATGTTTCATGTATTGTTCCTAACTTGACCAGTAACATGATAACACTTTGGTTCTATGTAAGTATATGTTTCCTGTATTACTCCTAAGCAGCCCGGGAACCAGACATCACTTTGATTCTACAGGAGTATATGTTTCATGTATTGTTCCTAACTTGACCAGTAACATGATAACACTTTGGTTCTATGTAAGTATATGTTTCCTGTATTCTTCCTAAGCAGCCTGGTATTCAGAAAACACGTTGTTTCTACATAAATATATGTTTCATGTATTACTCCTTAGCAGCCCGGGAACCAGACATCACTTTGATTCTACAGGAGTATATGTTTCATGTATTGTTCCTAACTTGACCAGTAACATGATAACACTTTGGTTGTACATAATTGTATGTTTCAAGTATTACTCCTAAGCAGCCCGGGAACCAGACACCACTTTGGTTGTACATAATTGTATGTTTCATGAATTACTCCTAAGCAGCCCGGGAACCAGACACCACTTTGGTTGTACATAATTGTATGTTTCATGAATTACTCCTAAGCAGCCCGGGAACCAGACACCACTTTGGTTGTACATAATTGTATGTTTCAAGTACTACTCCTAAGCAGCCCGGGAACCAGACATCACTTTGATTCTACAGGAGTATATGTGTCATGTATTGTTCCTAACTTGACCAGTAACATGATAACACTTTGGTTCTATGTAAGTATATGTTTCCTGTATTCTTCCTAAGCAGCCTGGTATTTAGAAAACACGTTGTTTCTACATAAATATATGTTTCATGTATTACTCCTTAGCAACTCGGCAAGCAGATATCACCTTGGTTATAAATAAATACATGTTTCATGTATCACTCCTACGTTACCAGGAAACAGACTTCACTTTTGTCCTACATAACTATATTTTTCATAAATTGCTCAATAGCCACACATCACTTTGGTTCCAAATAACTACATGTTTAGTATATTACTCCTAAGTTACCCCGTGGGATATATAGCCAGACATAACTTTGGTTCTACATACGTATATACATTACAAGAAATCACTTAGGTTTTATAATTTTGATTTGTACACTTAGTCTTATGTGGGTAATGAAGCATGTAGTTCAGCAGTTATGAAAGTAATGTAATATATACATTGGTTTGTAGGCCAATTATCGATATGAAATACAATGAAACGTTGGTTTTGATATTCTTTGATTTTATGGTTTTATTTTCCTGACATCGGCATACTAATAAATCAGTTTATGCGGAGAAGCAGGTAAAGTAAGTGCATAAAGGAAAATACTTCTATGAGCCGGAATATATAATAACTGCAAATACTTATGTCAACCAAGTGACAACTATTTCCATTGCCAGAGTGACAATAATTGAAAACTAGGGGGGGGGGGGCTCGTGCTACGCGTGTGAAACATCTTTTGGGTTGTGTACTTGAATGCACAATGTTTATAAAATATAAACGTAGAGTGTATTTAAAGTAATTAAAACAGTTCAGTGACCTTCGTAGAGTACTCATGTATGAGGTTATGTAGGTAGAGTTCTGAACGAATCTGATGGCCGTGTGGGGCGTCTCAAAGAGTGCGGGGTTAAACAAACCTATTCTTCAACACGTGATACCCACCAAACACCTCTAGTGCAAAAGACACTTTGAAACTAATGGTCTGATCAAAAATGACAAACCGATCGACTTATCTAGTAAGACACAACAGATCAAGCGGCGCTTTTAAAAGTTTGGTGTCGGAAGAAAGTACTAAAACTCAACAGGGTGACGGTACCGGTACTCTTAGAATCTATAAACAAATGAAGAAACTCACACTCAAAACCTTAACACATAAACGCTGCTGTCTGAAATGGGGATCTAAAGGATGACAGATCCATTCCCCAAATATCCTTCCTTTTGCAATGCATAGCACTACAGCATCTACACCCATCCCTCTCCTACGTATATGATGATATAGTGTACTTCCCTACTCCTATTTTCATTTTTCATAGTTTAATGAAGGTTAAAAAGCTTCCCACGCCCACACAATCGTTACTATTTTTAATCATATACATCTTTAAAACACGTTTGAAATAAATATTACGCTTGCTGTAAAAATCCTGTAATCTATAGCTGTTAACAATGAATGTAAATTTTATGGAATCTCAACCATCAGCCAACCTGCGGACACCGTCATCTTGACGTTTTTTCGCTGAAAAAGTACTTACTACAACTGTTTCCATGCTGGCCAGGTAAACACCGGAGAGTATGGAATTCCTACGGGCCATGGTGCTGTGTTCACTGCTGTACTAATTTCGGTGGCAGCAGTTGTGTACTGGACCGTAGAGATTATTGGACCGGCACACACAACCATTCTGATACTGACTATTTCGACTCTGAAAACAAACAATTTACTGTTTGTACAAATAATACTTTATTTTTTCCTATTTTTTAATATCTATAGTTATTTGAGATTCTTTGTTTCACTGACTTATTTGAGTTAGAACATATATTATCAAAACAAGTAAAGGAAAAACTTTTCAGAAAAGGAAGTAAATGTAGAGATGGCTAATATCAATTCTTCAAAAACAATGCAAACAAGATGGTAGAGGTGACATTTGCATCATCTCACGTAATAGCACAGGCACACAGTGTAGTAGAATGTTAACAGACAAAAACAGGAGATGTTAAACTCAATTGTGATTGAATAGTTATATATATATATCGTCATTATGTGCCTGTGCTATTATGTAGGGATGATGCAAATGCCATCCCTATTATCTTGTTTGCATTGTTTTTGACGGATGGATATTAACCATCCCTATTTACTTCCTTTTTGAAAAGTTTTTATTTACTTGTTTTTTATTGCATCGTTTCAATAGACATAGATAGGTTGTATTTATAACCAAGTTCTAAATACAATGAGGTTCCAACTGTAATATTTATTGTT